CAACTGAAGCTCTTGACATCACGACTTCCCCAACCTCACCATCCATTGAAAAACCTCCTTTCTTCTAACCTTGATTTTGATCAAGAAAATAAGCTTTTACAGATTTTGAAGAAGCATAAGAAGGGAATTGGATGGACCTTGGTTGACACTCGTGAGTTTAGCCCATCCATGATTATGCTAGGGTATAAATTAAAGATGGAACAAAGTTAGTGAGGCAACCCCTTAATCCTTTAATTCTTGATGTTGTGAAAAAGGAGACCACATTCACGTGCCCATTTGACACTTTTACTTATGAGGATCCTTCTTTGATCCTAGAATAAAAGGCAGAGGTACTAATAAAAATTCAAGGTCAATGGATGCTATCCAAATTTACTCTATGAGATCTCCACTTTGGAAGAGGAGACTGTAGAATATCTCTCTTTGCGAAAGGCTTCTTATGTGATCACCTATCCACCTTGACTACTTAGGTGTGTTCTTTCCTTTCATTGATGACATTGTGTGTTTTAAGTATGGGGGAGGGATTCATTTACTTTATTTTATTTCTTTCAATTTTCTTCATTTTTGAGTGTTTCCTTAAATAAAAAAAGTTGCATGCTATTCTTTAGTTTTGAGTTGCAATTTTTTGTGAGTAGTTCTATGTTCTATTGATTAAAGAATTGTAGTGTGATGTGGTTGAATTTTTTTGGGTATATTATTGGCATGTTAAGTAGGATTAAACTCTAGATTGTGCATAATTTGTGGTAGATCATTAGCCTTGTAAGATTTTGAACCTTTTAATGGATATCATTTAAAAATTCATCATTTTCTTTCTTGTGTATTTCACTCATGTCTGTTAGTCGCTAGAACTTGAATTGCCTCTATTGAAACTTTTTGTTTACTTGTGCGCATTGATATGATAAATACATGTTATTTTGTTTTATATTTAACCAGTTAGCCAAAAATCCAACCATGTAAATATTATCCCTTGTTTGGAACCACTTTAAGCCTATTATCTCATTCTTTATTTAAACTCATTACAAGCCGAAAAGTGAAAAATAATGTTATCACCATATTCAAAGGGTTGAAATAGTCTTGTATTGAGTTGGGTGAGGTTGAACAATATAAGTATGATGTTCCAAAGGTTGGTAGAAAAAGAAAAAAAAGAAAAAAAGAAAAGAAGGATATTAATACAATTTCCTTCTAAAAAAGAAGAGAATAAAAAGAGAAAAGAGAAGTGAAATAGCAGAAAAGTTGTTTTGAAATGAATGAAGCATTTTGCAGTTCAACTCCCTCGAATTCCTTCAATTTTCTTTTGACCCTTTGAGTTTTAGCCTAGTACCTCTTAGAATTTATCTCACCATTACCTTGGCCACGTTACAACCTGTATAAAAGTATTTTTGATCTTTATGTGCATGTATTTTAATTATGGATGTTAGAGTCTTTTCAATCTTATGATAGTACTAACCTTCATGTTGTGCTTTGAGTGTAAACAGTTAACCTAAATAGTTGAGAGTTTGGTGAATTTTGTCTTGTAAGGATCTTGCTACTTATGATGTACTCTCTGGTAAACGAGCACGCGCGATTAGGGGGATCATCATGACCCTATCCTAGCCATCATAACGCATTAAATGTGGCTCACGGCTCGAGGAACGCGTGGCACTTCACTTCTTCAAATCCCATCAATCGTTGGTCTCCCGGTATATTGAGCTTCCCGACATGTAGTGTTATAGGTCCCCGGACACAGATTCCCTCGGGCACCAAGTATCAGCCTCATCTCCGCAACAAGCGACGACCTTGCCTGGAGTGCGAATTTTCCTTAAGTCACCACTCCCATGCTCGAAAGCAACGACTTGGGGGGCTACTATTCCGGACTGGCCCAATCCACTTCTGCTCCCAGAACGGCTCAATTGCCTAAATCTAACCAAACTGGGGGAGAATTTACCTTTCTGCCCATCCACCGGGGGAGGTAGACCAGTTTACCCCTGGGCCCACACTTCTCCTCATCAGTCCTTACCCGTCACGCACGGTCCCACCACTCAGAAACAGTCACGACACTTGTGCCCGTTACTGCATCTCTGTCCATAGCAACGACTAGTTATGAGCACCTCTTATGTCCCAACGACTAATTTCTAAAAGTTACCTATTCTTCGGGAAACAGTTATCTCGCTTGAAAATTAGGACCAATGGCCAAGCACTAGGGGCACTATAAAAACCCTCTCATTTGAGAGGGTCAGGTATTCAATATTCACCTTGATACACACATATTCTATACTTGACTTCTTTCTCCCGATTCTTTCTTTAGCATCAGAGTGCCTTACAGATACACCACCGCATCCTCTCTCACACCCAACATCATAGACAATTGTCTTTGACCCACTTCAGATTCTGATCAACCGTCAAGATCACTTTCCATTAGCCATATATCCTTGAAAAATATGGTTAATTCATTCGTGAATTTATGTCATTTATTCCTAATTTTTTTACAAAAAAAGGTTTTCCTGCATGTTCATAACTCATCATTAAATAACCAACACCAACAAACATACATATCTAAGTATTACAAAACAATAGATTTTTCTTATAACATGCCACATGTTTCCTCTCCCAACACTCATTTAGTGCTGCAATAGTATTATTCACATGATCTCACCCTAATCCAGTATCTTTTCCAAATAAGTTGTACCATGCACGCCAATCCTTTCTTAGATTAACATACATATTCTTCCATTGTGCTTTCTCATACTTCCTTTTTGGTTAACTCATGAAAATTGAAAAATGATATCTTTCCATTCTTTCTTTTCTAAAGCTTGTACCAACAAGTTATCCCTTGAAAAACTTGATCCAAACATACTTTCACAAAAAATGTAGTTTCACTACAAGAAATATTGCATTTTTCCAGGTGATTTTCACGTCACTAACTCAAAAACCACTTCACTAACCAACTTTTGTGACGTGGGTAAAACACGTCGGAAATGCAATGGTGGGAACATGGTCCCACGTGGAAAATACGTCACAAAGTTGTGACATAGTTCCCACGTCGCAAATAACAAAATCAGGAGAAAATCTTCCCACGTGAAAACCAAGTCACTAATTAGTGACGTGATTTTCACGTGGGAACCCAATGGCTTTGCACGTTAATTCTGGCACTAATTAAATTGGTTCCCATGTGATTTTCACGTCACTTATTAGTGACGTGATATACATGCCACAACAAAAATATGTTTTATAATAGTCACATTGTTTGCACTTCACTATAAAATTTAATAATAAAAAAATAAAAATAAATATTAACTGAAAACAGCTATAAAATTAAAATAAATATTAAATATTAACTATAAATTTTAAAAAATTAAAATAATATACATTAAAAAAAATATATGTAATTTGTCTTATAGATATACATCATTTTAATAAAATGTGTAATTTAAATCTATTTTTTCTATTTCGACACCAACCAAATAAAATATGTTCACTAAAATAATATAAATTATGTTTACTAAAATATACAACATATTCTCAAAATATAATATTCTAAAATATAATATATAATTTGTTTATTAATAATAATATATTTAACATATAATATATATTCATTATTTTTTAAAAATATGTTTTTCTAAAATAATATATATTATGTTTACTAAAATATAATAACTATTCAATAATATAATATTCTATAATATATATAATACATTATAAAATTCATTATATTTATTAAAAATAACACATTTAAAATATATATAATACATATTCATTATTTTTTAATAAACATACTTTTTGACAAAATAATACATTTAAAAATAACACATTTTAAATATAATACATATTCTTTATGTTTTGTAACAAATATCTTTTAATTTTTTCTATTTACAATATTGTTTACTAAATTTTTTTTTAAAAATTCTACTTTTTCTCACATACTAAATATTCTGTTTTTAAAAATTAAAAATATATTACATATTTAATTTGTTTCTAATAAATATTCTGTTTATATATATTATTATATTTTTAATTTGAAATATATATATTCTAAAAATATATATATTGTTTTTATTTTTTTCTTTCAACAACAACAACACAATAAACAAAAATAATATTTATAGATCTGAAAAAAAAATCAACAATTAATAATTAGATAAATATAAAATAAACTGTAAAATATTCACAAAAACAATCTATAGATCAATCACCTTAAATTTTTTGTGAAATTTTCTTTGAAAATGGAGTTGTGATGGAGGCAGTGATAATGGAAGAAGGAAGAAAATTGGGGAGGAAGGAAGATGAAAGCAACGAAGGAATGAAATGAGATGTTGCTGAAGAAAAATTTTGTGAATTAATATATAGGGAGTCTTGTGACATGATGAACACGTGAGAGGTACCACGTGATTCCCGTGCGTTCCCTGTGGGAAGTTACCCACGTGATTCCCAAGTCGGAACATTTCACAAAATTGTCACATTCAATTCCAACATTCAATGTATCTGGAAGGTTAATGGAAAAGCTGAGATATTTTTTATTTATAGTTTGCAACGTGATTTGCATGTGGGAAACTTGTGACATGTTACACACGTGAAAAATAAAGGGACTTTTTTGAATTTTCAGTTCCCACCTATTTTATAGGTGTAAAATTTCAAACTTCCCTCCTCTTAAAATTCCAATTTTTAGTTGAAGATTTTAGGTCTGAATAATTTATTATTTAAATGGTTCAGTGACGTGGGAATCACTTGGCAACGTGTTTTTTTACACGTGATTAGCACGTCACTAAATCACTTGTCAGAACTTTTTCTTGTAGTGTTTATTTATGATCCCATAAAGCTTTAGTTTTCTGTTGCACCCTTTCATTATTTGTGAAAAGATCCACACTAACTATAACAATTAGATGTTAACTAGATGTTAATATCTCAAATCATTATTTAATATCTCAAATTTTATTTAAAAAAAAACAACTAGATGTTAACTAATTATAACAACTATTGCATCTAATGTAAAAAAATTAATCCATACTTAATTTTTCATTCTCAATTCACATTATCTCACATCTACACAATGGACAAGAATAAATGTGTGTATGAGTCACACATTGACAGATCCATTTAGCAATACACATTTTATGAAAAATATGAGAACATTTTGTATAAAAGAGTTCCGTCTCCGATCCATTGCAAAACTCTTCAAAACAAATTGAACATTGATCCTTAGAATCTGAAGTAATATCAACTTCCAAATTTGATGATAAACCCACAATTTGTTGATCATTATGATAAGCATGATTTAGATCAAATTCATCTTCTTTTCCAATGTGCGAATTAACCCATCGAAGAGCCAAATTCACCGCCTCCAATTTTCCACGTTGAACCATTTTTCTAGCACAATCTCTCATATCACGTATAACCAAGTTCATTAGGTAGTTAGGCAAGGCTTCAAAGATTTCGTACAAACATTGGTTGTTGATATCATTATTGTTGCATAAGATATCAAGAGGAATCTCAAATTTGGGAAAGTTGGGGGTTATTAATCTAAAGGTAAGGTTTTTTGGGTCATTGGACGTAGAAGAAATAATTAAGCGAGTGTAATCAATGATGATGGTTAAGCAATCATTCAATGAAAGAGTTTTTGAAGGAGACATTCTTGAGTTGAAGGAGGAATCCATGAATGATTGACAGGTTTTAGAGCAAGTATGGGGTAGAAGTAGAAAAATATTTGGTTTTGTGTTTAAATTTGTTTTAAATACAATCCTTTTATAGGAAAAAAAATCTCGAAGAAGTTTAAATAGGATTAAACCTAAAAAGATTTTGTCAACAAAAAATTCTCTAATAAGATTTTACCCTATTGTAACAAATCCTAAATCTTTTAATATTTTATCTAACAGCAATATCCGAAAATATCTGACATAGGCATCAAAAGTATATATTTGTTTTAACAAAGATCCTTGGTGGCAGATTGTGTCATTAATAGCCAACACGATTTGAATTTTTCTTAGGATAAAAACTAACACCATTAATTACCAAAAAAAAAAAAAACTAACACCATTAATATTTGTGACAAGAATTATGTAGGATATCTCATATTATTAGTTATTAATTCAGTTTTTCTTGTATAATCTTAGTGTTAAATTTTATCAAATATAACTTTTATTTTTTAAAACAAATATCTTGTTTTAATAAAAAATATATATATTTTAGTAATTTTATTGATAAACAATGTTAATTAATTTAACTAAATAAAGATAACAAGTTTTTTATTAAAAAAATATAAGTATTGTTAATTTTGCTTTAAAATATGAAGGTTAACTGTTTTTATTTTTATTTTGGCCTAATCATCAAACTCTACAAGATGTTTTTTAATATAAAAACTAACTATATTTTAATTGATTTATTTTATTTTAAGGAATAAATTTAATCCTACTATTAATCAAACCAATTTAATGAAATACAATAAATTAAAATTCTTTTTATTTCTAATTCTAATCAACTTTTTTTATCAACACAACATAATTCAATACTTAGTTGAACGAATGGTCAACAATGTGGCTTATATGTGTCTCAGGCCTATTATGGTTTATATTCTTTCCTATCTCATTCGCTAAAACATTATTTGTTCGAGGGGTATGAACAAATCTAGCCTATTTGATGTTTTGACACATCTGTTTCATAATCTTGCATGTCATCCCTACTATATAGATAGATCGTTATCATTGTCAGTAATGAGTTTCATTAGGCCTAGGTTATCGGTTTCCAACACCACCTTCTGCATTCTATTTTGTATCACAATTGCCATTTTCATCACTGGACCATTCACTGCTTGGGGATTGTTGTCTCCTCCAACTTTAGTTTGGGGTTTTTAATGATATTTTTACAAGTGTTTCTTAATCCATTCTTTGATATTTTTAGGCACCATTTTTTTTACATCGGATGTTTTTGGAGACATATTTACGAAAAAAATTTCGTAGATACATCTCCAAAATCTTATCAGAACAAATTTTTTTATAAAAAAATCAAATTTTGTTAGTCGCAAATGTAAATTAACTGTCGCAGATGAATATAAAATAACATAAATCCGTAAATAAAATTATATATATATATATATATATATATATATATATATATATATATATATATATATATATATATATATATATATATATATATGAGAAGTAATATATGTATATATATATATATATGAGAAGTAATATATATATATATATATATATATATATATATATATATATATATATATATATATATATATATATATATATATATATATATATATATATATATATATATATATATATATATATATATATATATATATATATATATATATATATATATATATATTACTGTCACTACTGTGTGTGCCTGATAACATTTGTATCCCCTCCTCTGCCTATGCCTCTGTCGCCTCGTCTGTCTCTGCCGCTTCCTCGACCGCCCAGTCTGTGTCCTCGACCATCGATCCCACCCGTCCTAACGCGATGCTTGCGATTCATAAGTTCCCCATGTGCCACCTCAATGATCTCATCCAATACACGCCTGTGGTCAGACCCCTTAGTGAAGAAACCGGAGGTAGCTCCAGTCTCTCAACACTCTAGTTGCCCGAGCCTCGTCCAATACCATGTGCGTCTGATAGTCAGCAAAGAACTCGTCTATCTGCCTACGGGTCAAGCCGAGAGGAACGGAGACAACTAGGTGTCTGAGTATCGTCTATGTGGACCAGAACTGCCGCATAACGCACTTCGGCAAATATGGAACAGTGATGATCGAACTGCATGCAAACCATCTTGAGAATAGTGATATGTCGTCAAACGGGCGCGTCTCACAGTGATCGGCATAGACGTCGTAGCATATGTCCTCAGCAACCAGGCGATCAAGATAGACTATGTAAGGGTCAACTGCCTGATTTCCCCTAAGCAGGATAAAAGCATGAACATACAACATCTGCTATGTGTATTCAAGCACACTCTCCCACTTGAAAATCATGCGAAAATGTTGGAATATCCAAGCCTGAAATGAAAATAAAATACATCAGGGTCAAGCATTATCATAAATATAAAATGAAAAGAAATGAAAAAAAAGCTACCACAAGTAGTGACATGCTGCTTGCCACAGTTTTGGTCTTCCACTGGCATCCCTCTCTTAGTCTCCAATATGTGTAAGCCAGGGTAACCGCCCCGAGTTGTACTCATGGATCCGTGTGAAATCCAAAAAGTACCTCAGGTAAGCGACATCGATATATGTGGAGGAAGTATCCACAAACAGCTGCGTCCTGAGTAAAAATAAAACATAACACCTCAGCACATGTTATCTTTGTATCTCAACCTCAGCTAGATCACCATCTGCTTGGCGTGCAGCAGCGAGCACATCGCAAAATCTACGTGTCAAAAAGGAGAATCGCACATGAGCCCCTCTGGTCTTATCCACCTCCTCCAGTGCATCCACTGGATCATCCCTAAGCTCATCGATCAACATCTCTCTCGCCTCCTCCTTCGTCATCCTACTGTGATGGAGGAGGGTACCCCTGATCAGTATATGCAACAGACAGGAGATGTCGTCCAGTGTAATAGTCAGCTGTCGTGCGGTAGATGGAAGAAGGACGTCTAAGGGTGCTATCTCTCCGTAAATCCCATCAGCATCTCGTTATGGATCAGGCTGTAATCGATATCACAAAGGTCCTTCAAACCAGAGGCAGCAAGGACATCTTGGAACCAAGCCTCCTGTGGCTGCTCCAAAGATGATATCTTCCACCCATGGTTATAGAACTTCTACGGCTCACGAGTCTGAAAATTTTCCATAAATAAGAAACACTGTTAGTAATCAACAATGGTACAAATTATAAATTTCCAATGAAATAAAAACAAATTGAGTATTGTTAGCTCTCTATCACAGACATGTCTGGTAGTATGGTCAGCATACCCTGTCAGCAGGGACATATCTGAGGGACCCCTGGGAAACCCTCAACTCATCATCATCGTCTTAACCACCATCATCTATTGGTGGGTCATCAGCCTCTAGAGGTGACATCAGAGCAACATCATCAGCAGGATGGGGAACATAAGTATCTCGGCGAGGCTTGTGAGATGACGGGGCCTGTGATGAGCCCTCAGCTGAATCCCGACGCCTCCGGGATGAAGAAGTCGATGATAGGGTGGGATACGAGGTCGAGGGAGTGTCCTGGACATGTGATGAAGAAGGTTGTACAATAGGTTGTGCCTCAGTTGTATCGGCCTGGGTAACGGTGGCTTGGCTCCGTTCGCGTCTCATAGATGCATGCTGCGAAACCCGTCCAAGACGCAATTTGTCGTCTCTGTCTGCCATGATGTCTGCAACGTAATAACTAAGAAAAAACAGTTATATACAAATAAATCAAAAAACAAAAAAGAAAAAAATTGACATTTTCTACTTACGGATATACAAACCCGGAACAAGTTCTGTATATGTATCTATGGAAGCACCCCGAATTTACAACGTTTGGGTTGTTCTGGAGCTGCATCTACAAAAGCGCCCTAATGTTAAATTGTTCCGTAGATGTAGATCCGGAACAACCTGTAACTCAAAGGTTACGGTAATGGCGTCCCCTACCCATGCAAATGTGATTTTTGAAGCCTTGATCGTCCTTTTCAGTCAACAAACAATACCTACATTGTCTCTAAACTATGTTTCTAAAACTATCTAAGGATTTCTACCCCTAAAACAATATTCTAACTCGTTTACGGGAAATACTCGAAAATAACTCAGAAACTCAAAAACTTACCGATTATATCAAGCTTTGAATATGTTGGTGTTTCTTGATCGTTAAAATGAACGCTCCTTGTCGAGTTTGATTGAAAATAATGAAGATTGGTCGAAAAAGATTTTTTGAGTTGAGAGAGTTTGGAAAGAGAGTTTGAGAATAAGAAGAAAAATGAAGAATGAGAGAGGAGAAAAGACTATGGCGTGTAGGTATTCTAATTTTTTTTGGAGTTGTGTAAATGGAAACCTTTCATAGATGTAGCTCCAGAAAAAACCAGCGTTGAGTAAAAAAAAGTGCGTCCAAAGATACATCTCCGAAAGCAGGGTTTTTTTTTGAAAACGCACATGGTGCGTAAGAACCCCAAGGGGTGGGGTAAGAAAATCTCTATTTCCATATGTGTTAGAGAAGATAACTCCAAACCACCAACTACCTTTTTGAGAAAGGCTACCATCGATATTACTCTTTATCCATCCCTGATTAGCTGGAATCCACTGAATTCTACATTTTTTTATGATTTATTGAAGTTTTTCATCTCATTGTTTCTACTTGTTTCAAGATTTCGCTGCATGTGTTTAACTATTTTACGTTGGTCCTGATTCATATCACCGTTGAGGTAACCCATATTCATTCTATTATCCCCTTTCATCTAATATTCGATCAATTTGCATGTTAGTGATCATATTGTGCTCATTTTTGTTTCTGTGGCGATCTTGATCATTGTGACCTATCATCCTTTTATTCCTACCTTCCTATACTTTTTCTTTCAACTTCTGAGCCTGATTTGAGGTGTTCTTGCTAAACATTATTTAGAGAAACCTCCCTGAAGCTAATCAGGTGAGGTCACAATCGTCCTATTTTGTTATGAGGTATGTTAGGAAGAGATCAATGCCACTATTGTTGGTGTTCCAAGGTTTTCAC